GCGTCCACATCGTAAACACAGTCCCTCCAGTTTACGCTGGCTGATGCGTGTCCAGACGGCTGCACATGAGGCTCAAAGTGAAATGCATGCAGAACTATCTATTCGGGGACAAATGTTCGACTAAAATTTTGACTGGTTTTACCCAGCTCTGAATTACATCTTCAGTGAGAACTCCTGGCTTTTGAAGACCGTATAACTTTTGTTATTGGCAAAACAATACCCATAAATTCGCTGGGTTGATAGCAGCGACCGACTGAAACCAAATTTCAAGTGAATTTCTCGTTTATGGCACTGCCTACTGGAGTATCCCAGTGACGGAGTTTCCAAATGACTGTATTTCGCTGATTGCGCACAATTGGTTCTTTAAGCACCACATGCTGCTGATGGAACCTTGGAGACTGCATCTACCTTATGAACTCCAATAAGGGTGAAACTGGTCGTGGACTGTCGAAAACTTAAAGGCAAACTTATACGATGTGTTTTCTGTTAAAAAAAAACAACAAGTAAGCATGTATTACGTAAAACAAAGGCCTCTCTTCTCTCTTTCATACCAAACTATATCCCTCTTTTAGCTTGTAGCAGTGGGTTATTTTTGGAGGTTACAGAATCTAACTTGACCTCATAATAATTCCCCACACTGATTTGCTTACTCCATGTCCTGTTCTTCTGTACCCGTCATCCACTTCGCTACAAAGTCCGTCCCGTCCAGTAATGTACTAGCATGTGTATGTGTGAATGGGCACAGCTGGCCTACTTACCCATAGGTGTTCGCACCCCTTGTTCTGAGCCTGTCCTGATTTGCTCTGTCGTGAGTTTCGTGTGATCGCGCCACCAGTCAGAATCACGAGACTGTCCTCGAAAGGGATCGCAAACCACATTAATAAACCAAGATTCCTCTCACCGTGTTGTGTTGTGCGGACCTTGACGTTGCACTGTGCCGGTCACTGAAAGACTAGTGCACTTGCTGAAGCCACGAACGTGGAAAACTTTGTCTTGTAACGTAACTTAACTTACCTTTGTGTAAATAGACTATCAAACCCAATTTTTGCTTTCGATTTTCGAGATCACCGAACCTACGCGTCATTTATAGTACCTTGATGGGAACCTCAACAGAGGTATCGTATGTTCGGAAGGACCCTACCGGTTAACTTTTGTTTTCGTTTGTCGCTAAAAGAAATGCCCATTCCCTTCCTTGTTGGGTTGAGTGGACAAAGTCGTCAAAACTTATTCACTCCGAGATTCATCAGCCAAGATTATTTGTTCGCAGTGAGGGTAACCTTGTGCCAGTGTATTTAGATCGGTTGCAAAAATATGAGCTGTATGCTTTCATAGACCTGATGTTGGGTGGTAAATAATCAGAAGTACTCGGTGCATGAGTTCTAGTTGCCACCTTAGCATGGTCATCTTTTTGGGCTGGATGGATTGGAACCGCTGCCACCAGATTTGCTTTGTTGATCATTTGAGTTTCTGATATTTCACTGTCCAAATAACAATGAGTATTGCCAACTTCTCTCCCCCATTCCTGTGATCAACACTAGAACAAGGGGAAAAAGGACTAGTGTCACAGTCCAAGGAGCTAAACACACATGAACTTTGGGTCACGCAATATGGGTCCGTTTTGGAAATTGAAACGAAAGTGTGGCTATCCCTGGCTCGGTTTTCATTCACAGCTGTCTTTATGTGTACGGTAATCAAGCGACCCTGCTCCCTCAGAACCTCTAAAATTCATTCGGATAAACGAAGACGCCATTCAGTTCAGATGAATTCATTCAAAACCATTCCCTCTAAATTTCGATTGCATTCAGTAGTGCGCAAACTGTCGTCTTGCCGCTCTAGTTCGTTGAGAAATCGAGCGCTCTATATGAAAGCATGGTTGCTTTGTTTGCGCAAAACAAAAATATTGGAACTTGTATTAAATTATAGGTATTTAATTATGAGAAGTCGTTTCTGTACAGCTTTGCAGATGGGTATCGAGCGGCGTCCAGGCTTCATTTCAATAGCGGGCCGGCTTTTAGCAAAGGAGTGAAGCACAACTCGCATACGCCACTGACGAACAATACTGCCTACTTTCTTACCATTCGATTTCCTAGAATTTAGAGAAACCTGTATTCATTTTCACTTATTGGTCAACCCTCCATAGATAGAAGTTTTTTGTATTAGACCAATTGGCAGCGAAAACCTAAGTGTTCTTCAAGGGCTCACTATGTATGCGGTGATGGGCACGCTCTTCTCGACCAACTCACTCAGTGCACCTGGGACAGCTGGACAAATAACAACAACACGCTCAAGTTAATGCAACCAACATACAAACAGAAAAGCACAAACAGCCAAACGACCAGGGCGCTGACATGAACAACTTTATTCATGGATTTTCTGGGCCTTGACAGACACACTCACTTATAAGAAATCTTGTCGATTTCTCTGAAGACCCACGTTCCCGCTGACCACGACTCCAAAAACTCTAAACGGCATTTCCCTGATTCTCATTTGTGGTCCTTTGTTCAGTTGTTTTTAAACAAGGCGTTGTTTGTCATACGCTGCCAAATCTGCCCCGAACCACATCAGTGTGTCAGGTGTGTGTGTGGTTCGAGGTCATTTACTTTTAAGGTCTAAACCTGCATGCAACAGATGCTGGACAAAGACATACTGGAATCTGCAGTCCCTTGTTTTCCAAATATACTCCTTTATCCCATCAAAATTCGTTATGGATCATAACAGACGTACAAACGAGAGATAGTACTGATAGAACCTCGGGGAATGCACCTGATTAGTGAGTTTCAAGCAATCAACTGAAAAAATTTTTCAGTATCCTTGTAAATAGCGTTCGGTTAGAGATGACGAATGAAATTTTTTGCGGCAACTTGGATCTAGTTAATTCATCTATGGGTAACTAAATAGCCCCTCTGTCTCTCAAGTGACAAGTAAAGCTATAATAAATTCGGTGATGTATGAAATTAGTCTGTGACAAGAACAGGTAAATAAGGTACGATTCCTTAGGCGTATTAACTTAGCAGGTACTTTGAGACACGTTTACATTAATCCAACTAGACTATCCATGAGAAACCTATAACGACCTAAAACAACTAACCGATAATGATGTGTTCTAAGGTCGACCAAGCGAGAGAAATGCAGGTGTATCCGAAAGTGAATGATTAGAAGGTGGAGAGATACTTTTTCACATACTACCTGAGACCATATATGCTGACCATACCCATATTTCATCGGAACAGCTGATATTGGAAAAGACAGTGGCTTTCAGTGGCGATCCAACATACATTTGAATAAAAAACACGTTGAAGTGTACAGATGTGGTCCAAGTTTTAAACACTTGGATTCCGGGTCCAATTAACTCAGTATGCCAAAAATCAACTGTGCATTTCCATGGTGAAAGTTTTTTCGTATGGCATTATTGTTACTACTCATAGCTTTACTTGCGGTTTAACTCCTCTCAGAAACCACTGTTTGCAGCATGATCTGTCCCATCCAGACACCGACTCAGGTAGCGACATTAACGGAAGGAGCCAACCGTCCTGTAAACCAAATTAGGAGCAGTCGACATTGCTTGTCACATCAATCTAACGGCCCTTTATAGCAAAAGCGATTTTATTCACCTCCATTACTCTTGAATTTCTTCATTGCCTAAAGTATATTCCACGCTTGCGTTAGTAGAGAAGGCGAACGGGTCTATCATATTTTGCACCAGCTTTGCAATGAACAAAGCTTGACATCTCTCCCGTTGAGCAACGATGATATCAATAGGAGGACCTATGAAATTTGTTAACCTAAAATTACACTTTCGTCTCTATCTCGATTGGATGGTCCCAATATTGTCCCGTCGCAGTGATTCTGATTAATTCGCACCAAACTTAGGTGGCACTAGCCCAGAATTTGCTTTTAACTAGAGCTTACCGAAATAGGTATCACGCAATCTAGGTAGTAAACACGTCCGGGATTCACAACCTGAAATGACCAAGGGTCTACAAGACAGACGAGCTCGAAATGAGAACAGAAATCAAGCCCAGTGTTTCTCCGGTCCATTCAGATGAATTGTGTCAATACAATTGAAGGGCGTTAAGAATAAATGTGAATAAAATTTCTGCCCACAGCTCCTTACGTTCACTTCTGTTACATAGGTTAACTAGTATCGCTGAATACAGAGATGTGTCAAGGGAACAGGAAGCAAGTCCCAAACACGGACGGACCAGAATATCCGGTAGACTCATGGGTTGCAGCAACCTGACAAATCTAGGTTCTATCTCACTCAAATCTAATTGTATCTGCTACAATAATCATGCAGTTTGATCCGATTTGCCTTCATTCTTTACCAGCAATGTATGCGAAAGCAACACCCCCTTTACAGTGACGATTTTGATTGTGACAAACCTCTTTAAAAGCAATAGAACAATATGAAGCACTTCCCGAAAAATGTGGGTCAATGAAAACTGGTCTGTTGCATGGATGCCATCATTTAGTTAACCTCAGTTTTTTCGATAAACTTTTACTTTTTCGCTGCCCTTTGCTCTCTCTTATTTTGATAAATAATTATGAGGTCTTCAACAAATTCCCTTGAATCCTGCTCAAGTTCGATACCTTGTCAGAACATGCTGTCCATAGATTTGTTGAGACAGTCCTGCAGCCCAGGTCATTTTAACTCCCTCTGTCAAAAGGAATGCTTAAAAAAGTGCCGTCTAACATATTGACCCCTTTGAGAAGTGACGGCGGCGAATGTCTGGCTCATCACTGTAGCAGAAATATTGTCATGGATCAACAAACCTGCAATGACGTCGTGCACTGAACTGTTTACTAATTATCCTTTCTTCGCCCCCTAAAATTTCTGGTTGGGGAAACTAAAATGAACTACTTATGATGAAGCTACCCAAGTATACCTTGTCGGTTAGCTGGTGGAAAATAATTTAGAACCAGCCATGGCCTCAGGCCACCTGGGGAAGAAGAATTGGTTCCAACACGGATAACAACGTAAACGAGTACACATTTTACAACCGAAGTCTTTATTTTTTGCAGTATGCTGTGATTTACTTTGCAACTTCGAAGCGAAGCTGCATGCAAATGCATGGGAGTCGCAGCTATTTTGGTAAGGAAGCTGAATTGGCAAGCCCTGAGTTGAGTTGTGCAGCAAAATGAGCAATGTAAAATTTCTTCAGATAGTTGTAATAACAGGAGATCACATGCTTCTATCAGGTTCGACTGCATTCCAGACGGTGGAGACTCCCAGTAGTTGTTTCGAAACAAAGGAATGGTCATACACTGTGGGAATAGAACTATCTCCGCTTCCTTGAGTCGAGTGAATTTCGTTCACGTTTTTATCTGCTGGAGGTACATCGTGCCAAAATTCCCTCTTTTGCGTAGGTCGCCCTTCATAATCGGACAAAGGCCATTGGTTGAAAGGAGCATGTACGTTCGAATTTGAGGGAGATACGTACTGCTTCCGAGGAAATGGATCGACAACATTCGTCGACATCCACCACTGATCTCTACAAAACCTGATGGGTTTGAGGACAAAAAACAGAGATTTCTTCATATCGTTTGATTTGACGTAATAATTCAACAGAATAAGGTGACTGGATTACATAAGAATTACCCGGGACCTTCCTGGGAATTAAAAAAGTCCAAAAAATTTCCCAGCTGGAGTCTTGGAATTACCTCGTTTCCAAAATGGTTTCAATACCATGTTTGGGGAAAATTAAAGGTAAAACCTTTAAAAAAGGGCCAAATCTAGTAAGTGTATGTCTTAAATAGCAATTAACATCCCTGTGCGGTTACAATTCAGTTCACTTTCCTCCTCTTCAACACTATTTTGATACGTGTTTTAAGGTCAAAGTAATACTTCATAATCGTGAAACTTTCGATTTCGGCTTATTAAGTGCACTCCCCACAACGACAAATTGTGGGAAATAACGATCAGATGTTGGTATATCAAGGAACACACGAAACAATATTCTTATTGCTTTGCGATCTGACAGACTTTTCCCAGTACGACAGCACAACTTTCCATGAACCGTTGAATGAGATTCAGGGATGGGGTCACTGCGCGCTGCTTCGTACCGTAGCAAAGAGCGAAGTCAGACCGTAGAATCACCATCACTGTTGTCGCCTATGTTGATATATTTCCTCGAAATTGCGGAACCTGGTGTTTCTACGTTTGTTAGTGTTCTTCTGAACCAGAATGATCCACCACCCATTATTTGTTGGAGGCGAACTGAGATCTACTGATTCAAACTGTTTGATAATATAGACAATGCTGAATCCGTAGGTGAACGTAATAACTTGAACACAATAATCCCTCTGTATATGGCGAACGAACTGTTTGCATTAGCAATATGTGAGATGTCCCAGATCAAGTACATCAGTCTTGTGAAAAATTGGCCTATGAGAATTGGTCGGAATGGTCTCAGTTAAGGGTCGTTCTTGGTGCAGGACGAACCTTATTGATCACACACACTAATGTGTCTAATGTGTCGAATGCTAGACTTTTGTGGAATACACAAATCAAAGTATGCATTATTTTAACTTTTCACTTCAAAAGCACCTTCATAACCGACAAATTTATCAATGTATCAATTATTACTCTACTTGGGAACGAATAGCCTTAGCAAACAATCTCAGAGAACAAAGACAAGCGTGAATGAAAGCTAGTGCCCGTAAATGTGCTACAGCTATTAGTCTTCAGAAACAGTTAGTGTAATCAAAAGTTTTGTCTGCATGCTTCTATCGTCAGATGAACATATCCTACCTGTGTACGGGTAATCAAACAATGTTCGATTTAGTTGCTCTTGACTTACGAATGCTTTAAGTGAACAGACATAATTGATTAGTTACAAAAACAGTATAATAAATTTTCCGCACATATTCGAACGATTGCAGCGTTCCCAAAATGAGTGCTCCTGAGCATGCGAGCTCATGTTTTACGACATTCTCGTCAGTCATCTTCAACGTCATCACTAAAATTGCTGTTATTATCTACGTTACCAGCCTCCTAGTCGTTATCGTCCCCACCTTCTATTTCCTTCGCGGTGTCACTCGTGTCTTCAAAAACCCATTTTGCTAATTTGCTCTTTCTCGGCAGTGGAACACTTTATAATTTTGTGGTATTGTTAACTTCTGATGGTTCTAAATCGATCTGAATAGTAGAGAAACCGTCTGCAAGTTCACAAGTTTTCACCAATACGAATTGTGTTCAAAACGCCTTCCGTCACGGAAGCCCGTTTAAATAAATGTATGTTGTAACCTTTTTTGAAATGTTCACCACAATAAAAATACTGTCCTCGGATTTGACCCAAGAGGAGGCAAGATGGATGAACAGGGTTAACACGTCTCTACATAATCGCATTGTCAAAAAGACTTGGATAATTTCATTATGTCTATCTGATCACCAGTATTCTATTGATCTTTGAACTAGGAATGTTGTGAAGCAAACCTGACTGGGTGCTCAGGGAATTTCGCCGTCTGACGCAGATCCATTTCAATGTACCAGGGCTGCTCGAGTTACGTAAACGCATTATTTGTTTGGCATTTCAATGCGGAAATCCAAAGATAGCTCACCACTGCCTAGTACAGATTGTGATATTTTGTTTAAAAGTGCCAAAATGAACCGGACTTAATCCGCGAATAATTGTGTTATGAGTGTCATGAGAATCACTTGCACTCAAAGGATTCTCTCAGTTCCAAAGTAACACTTGCCTTCTAGACTTTTTACTGCAACAAATCCTGACTATTCCAAAGAATCTAGGGAAGCTTTGACTTTCAGAGAAGGTAGGTCCTCTAAAGTTATGAATTTCACCTCCACAGACACCAGCAATTTCAATGTAGGAAACTCTCCTTTGAGAAGGATTTGTTTGAGGAAATATAATCATTTCAAAAGATCTCTCCAACAGAAGGTTTCGTACCATCAGGATGCGGTATGTTGAGAAATCGACCTAGAATCTAACAAAAGTTTCGCACAGTTCAAAAATTCCAATGCTATTTAGCAGGTGATATGTGTTTCCATGTATCAGAACACTAGCTATCTCAAGAATGAATTCCTTTTTTTGAGTGGTTGGCCAAATAATACTTGGAACCGCTCCTTCTGTTCCCTCCTTCTAAGGTGGGAGCTAGAAGCTAAGTCACAAAGGCACGATCCGTTCTTTGCAGAGGGTGGGAGGCCGGTGGTTCGAAATATATAATGTCCAGGCCAACACACATGGGCACGAGAGATATTACCTTCGTTTAGGGAATGAAGATTTTTTTGCGGGCGACTGCAATTCTTTGTTCCCAGAACGTTTGTCCAATTTTGAAGCAGATAACTTCATTACACTAATACCTGTTTACAATTGTTACAGTGGTGAGTCTGAAACCTCGGCTGTTAAAAAAACTACGGAGTTTTACATATACCTCAACGGACATTCTGTACCTTAAACCACCAGAGAGATGGTAGCATGTCCTCCGAATACAACTTAGCGGAAAACCCTTAGTTCTCAGAAAACTCACCGAAATTCAGCTCTAGTGGACATATCAGGATCGCTGTCCTTTAGGCAGATACTGTCTGTCATTGGAGTTTGAGCCGGTTTTACGTCCTTCTGGATAACATCGATACCTGGCTGATGCAACTGGTTCTTAGTATACTCATCCGGATGGTACCAATCGTCTTGTGGCGATAAATTCGGTTTCTTGCTTGCCCGCGTTCTTCGGTATACTCGATTAGCACGCACCCGATTCTCGTCAACAAATTTGCGATTTCGTCTCATTGATGACCCGTTTTCAAACATATCAACTGCACGAGGATGAACCGTCCAATAGGATCCCTTTCCTGCCTCTCCTGATGGACGAGGAACTTTGATGAAGCAGTCGTTGAAAGACAGTGCATGGCGTATGGAATTTTGCCATCTATACGAAGATACAATGGAATTCAGCACACCCAATATTTTCACCATCTCTTGCATTTCTATGTGAAACACGAATAAGGTATCAAAAAAACACATAAAGCCGAGTTGATTGAAGCTACACCAGTGCTACGGATGTAAATTTTCTTGGCTATAAGAGACGGTGTTAGGTGGAAACGAAAATGAACCAAAATTACCCAGTTTTACAGTGTACGTAGACATACACAAATTAGTGTCAATGTATATATACTCAGAAAGGGGGAAGGGCGCTACCAGAAGAGAGCCTAGCGGCTGAAACCGCAGAAGTAAAAAGCGGAATGGGTTTCAATGATTTATTCAGAACAAAAGGTTATAAAAATGACAATTACCTATAGGATGAATTTGTCTCTTTCTGTGTACGTAGCACAGCTGTCTGAAGTAGAAATTATATTTTCGTAATATCCGTCACAAACAGAAAATCCGGTGAAGCGGATATCCTAAGTGCGAGTTAATCACACTGCTAATCAACCGTTTGTGGCCGAACGGTTGGTATTCAAACCACCCACCGGGAGGTCGCATGTTCGAAACTCCCTGGAGTCAGGTCCGTATAATCTATTATGGGGCTACAGAAATTCCTTGGCAATTGCTTCTCCCTACGATGTGCAGCGGTGAATTTCCCCCAGTAGAATAGTATGCTATCATCACCAGTCACTTTCTCGGATTCTTTATTCCGGTGCAAGCCTATCACCAGCCACGCTCTTGAGGGTTGCTTTGAAACAAAATCACATCCGTTCAGAGTAATAAACATCTTTATTTACGCCGTGTTTGCACAATGTCACGGATTCAGCGATGGTTTCTATCAGAACTCCAATTCATAGAAGAAACTTTTGCCAAAATTTTGCCACAGTCACATGCTGATATGAAATTCTGCTCGCTAACTTCGATCGGCAAATTGTACTGCTCTTTCTCCAGGTTGTGACTGGGACGCCTTCAGACGTGTCTCAAACACGTCTTTTCGTTGTGTTTAAGTCAGTCCTAATACCAGAAACTCTTGAGTTTGAAGTACATGCTGCACCTTGACTTTACTGACCCCAAATCTCATAGAGTATACGGTTATTCGTACTCCTAATTTTGACTTGACGATTTCCAGCCTTCTCGTGAGAAAAAGTGCCAGACTGACATCAGAGCCTCGAATAAAGTTATAATGGGCCGTGTCGTGCGAAATACCGAGCGTACTTGCGGAAACCAGGTCAATGACCTCAACTGCTTTGAACCGGAACTTCTGTCTTGGACAGTTTATACATGGTATTGCCGTCTAAGAAACTGGTGTAGGTATGCTGGAGAGACGCAGGTAACCTCGAGTTACCCTGAGCACTGGCCGTCTTTGTATTAAGCAGAATTCTATTAAGAGAAAAAAGTGAGGCTTTGTACGAAAACAACAGTATCGATTGGTGTGTGACACATCTGGTTATCTTAGTTGAATTAAGCGTGAGCATAGAAAATGTACCTTTGCGGGACAGAGCGAACTATTGCCATCTTTAAAGAGGTCTTATGACTCAATCTCAGGTAAGGCGAATAAAATTGGAACCTGTCTTTGAAAACACACTATCTTTTCAGGCAACTCGGTGTCTCGGATTTATCAGTTTGACCAATTCTTACTAAGTGATGCGTTCGATTAACCATGATTATTCTCCACAACAGGGGACCTCCTTCCCGTAAGAAACATTAGGTTTGAGGAAATAGCTCCCGCCCATTGAAATCTTACTTTACTTTATCGTTGCGCAGTGCATTACGTATATACATGTATCGTGATATCTCGAATATCGTAGCGACTGAAACATGAGGAGGCCTGGTGCAGCACATTCAGTTGCCTGGAAAGACCACAAATGAGATATTCAGCTGGGCTCCAGGTGAGTCTCTCGCAAAACCAAATTAGTTTGCAAATGACTGCATGTTGAATCATGTTTTTTGCACGATGTCCGACACAACGCAGCATATTTCACCGAGGAAAATTACTTACAAGTTTCCTGAAAGTCCCTCAACAGCTCAGGACTGGCTTTACCCTTCTTGGAGCTCACCAGGTGGTGGTAATCCCCACGGTCCCTTCAACCTTATATTTTGCTTGAACTCTAAATATGTAGCACATTCAGTTGAAGAATATCACAAACAAGAGATTCAGCTGGGAGTCGTTTGAGTCTACCAACAAAACCAAACTGTTTGCAAAAGGGTTCAGTTCGCGAATTGCTTACAGTTTTCTTTTAAGTAGAACATAAATTTGACTGCACCTACCAGATGATCCCCAAAAAGGGCAAAGCCGGTCGTGGGCAGTGAAAGATTGCTCGGTAAACTTATGAGTAGTGTTGTCTGTAGGAACTATGGCTTGTGTTCTTGTTGACGACAATTTGCACCCAACCAGTGTTCTCAAAAACTGCCGAATGAAATACTGATGGGCTAAATAACATTTGCTAGTGGCTGCACAGCACAAGCAGAGTCAGTCATGTGGAACGAAGTCTACTGGCTGATAGCTTGCGACTTGATCGCTGGATTTTTCGCACCAAAACCTACAATCCACGAGTAAATACGCCGGTTCTTCACTTAGTGTCTTACTAGAGATGATTAGTTTGGTCGCTGAACTACGCGTCTGCAAGACAATACGCATTCCGACAACGGTTTGATGCATCTTTTTTCGCTAGTACACAAAGATATTGCTACCAGATTGGAATGCCAACTCCCAGAACAAATTATATTTAAATCACCTAGGGATGAATTGGAACGATGCACAAAACTTTTGCCATAAAATTCGTCTCCAAGGGTAGCCGGACAGTTTGTCTGATTGGATAAGAAAACTCCAGGGGTGACATCGACATAGACCTGCGAAACCGACACTATAGTTTCGCGCAATAAGAGTTTGAGGCTATTCTTCATCCAAAGCGGAAGCATATAATAGTTCGTCACTCTGAACCCACTTACGGGTGATTAAACCTTGGCAACTTCACTCTGAAAAACGAACTAATAAAAACTGTCATTGAAAGAGGAAGATACATTTTATTAGTTCGTATCTGGAGTACACCACCCTTAGTGATCCGAAGATTCCACTATTCCTTTGTAATTTACCAAGCAACTCCGACAAAGCGGAGTGAACTCAAAAAATGAAACCGACCTTCTGGTATTCACGATTACCTGTTCCGCAGACACTAGTAATTCTCACCAGCACACTCACTGTCTTCCGGAGTTGGCTTCCTCCTCTAACAAAAGTCATGTCATGGATTTTCTTATACTCCAGTGACAAGTAATTTTCCGATCAACCACACCAAAAACACTTGTCTTTGATTTGATCGACGGTCTCAAGACCTAACATTAATTTGAGTAATATTGCTTCAACTGTCATTCGTTAGAAAGGCCATCCGGATGTGTCGACCACAAGCGCGTTCGATAAAACAGCAAATTGGTTACAGCTAAAGAACTAATGATGGAAGACAGCAAAAACTGCTGGACGTAACGTCCGCAAAAGCATCACTCTACTCGAAGGGCGCACATATATCAGGTGAAGGGGACTTTGGAATTCTTTTCAGCGTCCTTGGAGAACGGCCTCACAGGATTTCTAATCTATCACCATTGACATCCTGTGGAATGACAAGTTTCGGCTGAGACCAACTTGCAGAAGAAAGAGCTTTCGGTCGCTCTCCTCCTGTGACTTCTTCAATGAGAATAATTCGTACTTTGGCGGAGTTCTACCATAGAAATAACTCGAATGCTTTCACCTATTTGTTTAGTTATTTAGCCAAACCTTAGTATAGGCACCAGCTAAACAGTGGTGTTGTCCTAAAAACTTGCAAGGTGCAGCTGACTGTGAGAAGTGGTTCAGACCACCTGTCGCTGTGATCGGTTATTGTGGAACTAATTTTGCCTAAGCTGAAAGCAGAATGAAAATCTTAGCCCGAGGCAATTAATTAAAAATCTGCTTGAAGTTGATTCTTCATGTTAAAACTACATGTGGGATGAGAACAGGGCTAACATATTCTTAGAACTCGCCATTCGTTTCTGTTTCAGATAGCACAAAGTCAGTACATAAGCAAGTGGTATTGCAACAGCTTTCCGGACTGGAAAAGCAGCCCTCTAAAATTAAAATACGGCCACTCATTTTGATACGCTACGCAAGGAACGCGAGTAAAAAACTTCTTGGAATTGACTTCATTCGGAAATTGTGAACTCTAGCCGTTACTGCGTTCGAGTGTACGGTTTTTAGTTACAATAGGAACTAATCGAATCGTACCGAGGTTTGTGACGTGACTTAAATTATGTTGTAACTCATGAGACGTAGCTCATGAGCCCAACCAGACGATTGAAATGAGGAGGCTGAAATCGTTGAACTCGTGAGGGTCGGGTATGGGAGACTGTGAAGACTTTTTCGATGAAGTAATTTAAAATACTCCTGTTGCGTTCCCCCTACTTTGAGGAAACTCCAGCATCAGGTGGCTCATACTGATAGTGTCATCTGCATATGCCGAAGTCGTTTATTCTCTAATTTTCGCTCCCTACTGAACGCAAAATTTTATATAGAGCAGCTAGCTTGACTAATGTTCAGTGGCCTTCTATGTGCACGGATTTGTCATTCTGTCGTTTAGGGCCCACGTGTGTGTAGGCCCTTGTGTCGGCTCCTGTAAGCCCAAATGGGTAGATTTTCATCCACGCCCAGTCCTGCACAGATTTCAAAGAGAACTCTATTGAACACAATAATGGTGCCTTGGTGAGGACAGACAGACTTAGAAATGGACGGACTTCAAAGTGAGTTTATACTGTTCTTTGGCTAGTGGTGAGATACTCTATCACCCTCAGCATTCTTACTCATATATTTGCGACTAGATGCTTAGCTGATACAAGTGTCCTCCTTTTATTAAGTCTTAAGGAGAGAACACCGTCCCAAGTATTTTAACTTTTAATCGTATTAGTTTGAAAAGTGTAGTGTCCGCTTTCACATTTACTGGAGGTAGATGCGATCCATCCTAAGCGCGGACAAAACTAGGACCAATCGGTCGTTTACATCAGTGTTCTACATTCCAAGCGACCATGTTCCATATGTTTCATAAGTTTGAGCCATTTTTGCGGAACTAATCACATTTCCGAAATGTTTTATTTCCGCATAGAACTTAAGATTTTGATCATGATATGTTGAAAAACTTGAATTCTGGACAAAGGAATGTCCATTAATTATTACCGGCTCTCATGAGCAATCCGTTATTATTCTCTGGAATAGTGCTACCTTATAAGTATAGGATGGAAGGTGTTTCGCTCATCATCTGGAGGCCAATCTCTTACCTAGTTCAACGAGCCTAGCAATTGAGTTTCACGTGCAAGTCATATCCACACAACCTACCAGTATTCCTCAACATTGCCATAATCCCTGTTATTATGTGTCTGCTTATACCAGAAGAGTTTCTTCATTCCTCACAGTGTGGTGACCTAAGACTTGTTCGACGCAGTTCATTCAACGGTATTTACACAAAGACATTCTCGGGGTTATGGTCTACACGAAGCAAACTGTCTCTCATTGCGCGTCTAAATCTGAACTATTTTGGTTCAAAACATGTACCCTCATCAATCTACACTCACTCAGTGTCTTGTGAACCAGAGATCCTTGCGGGGCCACAGCTTTCAACTATGAATAGCATTTAATTGAGAACCTTTGGTCGCTTTAATCTTGCCTGCAACTTTTCAGCCAGATTTCAAAGTAATTTCTGTAGTCTCATTCTTGAAGGCATTAGAAATACTTGGTCTAAACGTAATCCGATGAGCGTGTACAATAGCACATTCGTCGAAGTGGAATTGGCCCTTTTGCACTTTTGTTCGCTTTTCCTATTAGTTTTGCAAAGATGTTGCTCAGCACTTCCAAAATGGAAATCCAAAAACCCATATATCTAAACTGTCACGGTTGATCAATAAGTTCGTTGACTACGTATGATGAATGGAAAAGTAGTACATAAGGTTGTTGGGACCTCGGGGACTGCGCCCACCTGAGAGCCCCAAGGCGAAACCGGTCGTGGGCTGTCGAAGAGTCGTCAGCAACCTTGTGAGTAGTTTCCTTCATGAGAATGGACACCAGTTCTTTCGTTGGACATCCACGTCTCAACAGCTTTGAGATCAGTGTCTTTCTGTGCGTATGTGTTGGATACATTAATTAGAAAATAGTGAAACAGCGTAACCGTTAGTGGCTTAGCAACATAGGACGTCTTTGCTAATACGGGAACTTCACAAGACCAGATAATAGTTGGGGTGCGGCTGGAGACCATTAAGATATCTGTTGTAAACGCTGAACGTGGCTTACAAGATCACCTGCTGGTTTTCAAACGCGTCAACTTATAGACTACTCTGAGTTTTCTCTGTCTACCTATTTTAGTTTCTGTCTTTAGAGAAGCCTGTGATTCACTCAAAGCTAAAAAGCTGACCGGAACCCTCGCCCATATCCTCGCGTTTTCCTCTATAGTCAACTATTTCGAAAGCCTTTGGTGAAATTTTTTTGGCCACGCTGTTCTGTCTGGATACTCAGAGAACTAGCTATACAAAAAAATCGTACATATTACCAAGTTTCGTAAATTCAGATTGGTGTATATTACTAGATCTCTGAATAGAGGTATTTCCTACAATTTTTAAAATTCCTCCGGAGATTCCGACTTCACTCTTCAAAAACCATCCTACTTTTAACTTATCTGGCACAGATCGTCGCAGCAAGTGGGACTAAACATTGTGGGTGCCTCCCGGCAATAGAGCGCCTTTACCTCATTTTGGCCATTTTCAGACCATAACTTGCAATGCCCTTAGAAAACTAAGTCAGTCCACTAGGTCGACAGCACTGGTGAATATTCACGGTGTTTGTCTTCTACCACAACTTTGCCGTCGGAGATCAGTCGAGCCCCTCGAATGTGTCACCTTTCATGTCTACTATAGGTAGGAAGGTGGGCAGACTTACCTGCGCGTGTTTTTCCGGTAGTAGGCGAATGTCGACATAATCCAGGCATAGATTTCACTCAGTGTGATTTGTTTAGACGGTTTGGAGCTCATGGCTGAGACAATCAAAGTAATGTATGAGAATGGTGGTTTGGTGGAGACATCTGACAGGTCGACCGCATGCACATTAGATGGCTCACCTCTGTGGGACTGCTCAAGAAAACTTTGCGTTTGGCCATCATAGGCGGAAAGATTCGCTGTTGTGAACAAACCCGAACTGGTCCTGGGAAATACACAAGCAGCGCAGGAGTATCCGCAAAGGGTAGCGTTAAAGTTAATCCGTGAATTGAACTTGTGTTGTTCGTCCAAACAGTCATATGACATGTGATCTTCTTCATATGTAGGGATTGGGATATTCGAAGTTGAGAATACGGCATGCGGCCCTGGACCGTGAAATGTGTTTTTGTGATTTTCCTCGTGCTTCGGATGCGTTAGAGACACGGGCGAACAGGTGACCGGGGAGGATGAACTAGATTCGGTGTTCGACCCCCTCGGATTTACATTGACATCCCCGAATATGATCTGTGACTTTGTATCTGCCTTGTAAGCATCTCGACATTCAGTGGGTTTAAGGAAACTGAGGTTGGATGGAGGCGTATCATGAAGTGAATAACCTACAGACCTGTTAGGTGGCACAAACGTGTTAATATGAATGGTTGAAGACTCCTGGGTAGTATAGAAATTATTCATCAGTTTGGTAGTGGTAACACAATCATTAGCGGCAGTCTTTTCCGTCAGGCACCATGTTTTGGAGAATTCCGACTGTAAAAAATTCAAGGGTGGGTGCGTGAAGATGAATGGATGTTTGGATGCGACATCCTGTTGATTGGACGGTCTTGTGAATAGATTTGATGCGGACGGTTTCTGTTGACCGAATGAAAATAGCTGTAAGTCAGAGGCTGGGGTCTTCTGAAATCCTTTCACAACTTCTCCAAAACGCTGGGCCATGGCTTCGAGTGGTGAAGGACGAACTGGTTCATCTGACTGTTGTATAAAATGGTTCACTTGATCACTTGAAACGGACGCAGATTCACTGAGTTCGTCTAAAGGAAATTTGTTTTTGTCCATCTGCGAAACTGTAATCGTATGTGGAGATTTCGAGTAAGGGACAAAGGATTTATTCAGGATCTATTCGGTTTGTGGTAGCCAATCAGCCGTGAGTTTTTCATCCGTCCTCACAGCAAACACTCATGGTTCTGACCTTCTGTGTGTTCACTTTCGCACATGCCGAAATACTACAAGCTGATTGGTTGGTTTTGGTTTGACGGGGGAAGGAAATTTGGAGCTAGAACCAGGCTTCAAGCACAGTTTACTGTTAGCGTCTGATCTCCACTCCGTAAGAAACATCATTCGATGCATTCAAACTGATACTCGTAGGTATTTTAGTTTGGAACCGAACAAATCCTAGTAATGTTTGCTTGTTCACCGCGCTCGGCGATGGATTTGCAAATGAACAGAGCAACAGCTAGTAGTTTTCAGGGGCTGCTTACATTCCGCACGAAAGCCAGGCTAAAAAACATGGATACGAAAACTATATTTTCTGTCCACAATAGGGCTATACACAAGTCGTAAAGACAATAAAGACCGCCAGTGGTGCGCGAAAGAAATTGATTAGCCCACGATTTATAATTGGGTGCTACAAATTTCTCCCCATCCCAAGAATACTGTTTCCTTGCTCATTTGGGCTTTGATTCCAGTTTTTATAACCATATTTTGAATTGTGTAATGAACCTGATAACGGATAACTACAAAACTGTTGGCTCTCTTCGAATATTTTGTTCTCCTTGACCGAAGCCATATTGTAACATCTTTTCTGGCGACAGACAGGCGATGCGGTTAAGGCTCCAACAGTCAAATCATCCTGCTGCATAGATCGAGTAAATTGTGTTAGATGTTTGCAGCTACAAACTGACTGCGAGTTTTCGTGTCTTGGATCTCTGTAGGCAAATAGAACCGAATGAGGCCAAAGCGTCAGGTAAAATAGCCAGTAAATTGCACCACAGCTGTTATGTTTCCAACGGAATTTTGGCTGGCTTACTGGAAGCTTTCACCATTAACGATGGCTCATAATACGGAAGAAGATTCATTCNTTCGTGTCTTGGATCTCTGTAGGCAAATAGAACCGAATGAGGCCAAAGCGTCAGGTAAAATAGCCAGTAAATTGTACCACGGCTGTTGTGTTTCCAACGGAGTTTTGGCTGGCTTACTGGAAGCTTTCACCATTAACGGTGGCTCATAATACGGAAGAAGATTCATTCCTTTATGACAAAAAGCAATCTGGAGTCGCCAAACCAATCTTTCTTTAGTATTTTTTCACAGGTGCATCTTGTGAGTTGGGCTGATTTGGACAGGACAGTAATGAAGGCGAGTTGGGTCATCACATAAGGGACATATTTGTCTGCATTACTCCGCTCATTCCGTTGGTCAAAGCAATCAACGGGTGGCAATCTTTGTATTTTTTCCTCCTGCTTTAATCTGCGCAGAAGAAAACGCTCGAGTGAAGTCACGATTTCGAAGGCTGTCGGTTGTAATTTAACTGAACTGTTCGTCGCATATGAATTCTGCTAAACCGGAATAAAGTGTTCAAAGTTACATTGAGGCCATCTGGTTTTTGTGTTTGTCTCAGCCCACATTCAACCAAGAATATTACACTGGCCAACAGCATCACAACAGTTGTTTAGTGACTACTCACTTTGAATATCACTATAAAAAACTAAGAGGACGCAAAACCCTACGAACGCTGGTCTAAAATCAACGCAAAAATGGTCCATGATCATTAACAGATAAAATTTAGCATAATTTCTTTAGATTTTACATAAGTGATCCTCTAAGGCTGTCCATGAATCTGAGTGACTGTTTTTATTCATTCTATGTAACTAAAAGAAAAGATTTCAGCTACCAACTGGTGACATCATCCGTACTCGCGTGGGCTTAGTCAAATATCTTTGTCGGATATCCTGTTCAGAATGTAGACTAGGAGAACCACACTGCCCTCCAGTAACTAAAAAGCAAAAACTGAGGTGTTGAGTTGCCACTCCTCCAACTTTCTTCAGTATAAAATTAAGAATAGGTATAAAAATTCGCGTTAAAAATGCTCAGTAACGTTCGAGAGGTGACGATTCAAATCGATTAAACAAATTGTTCTGAAATAAGTAAATGGTTTACTTTTTACGTCTTCACAGTAGGAAATCTGGTTATTTACACGACCCATTTCCCCATCCACTAACATCTACTCTCACCATTTTGCAAAAAGCTATTTGCCTCTGAAAGGACCGAGAACTCCAGGCTAATTAAACGTGTAGGACTTTGGACTTTGTGCCAGCATTTTCCTTCTTCATGAGGTTTCCCGCATCGAATCACCGCGAGATGGGTGAATAGCACCCGAAAGTATGCTCATGTTTGTCAGAGAACGAGAGAGAAAGTGCTGGGGATGTTGCCGATAAGTATATGGAACAACATGCAATCATGGCCATCGCGCAAATCACGAACTGGTCACAGTCTCGCGCTAGAGGACGAGAAATATGGNTTTTTTCACAGGTGCATCTTGTGAGTTGGGCTGATTTGGGCAGGACAGTAATGAAGGCGAGTTGGGTCCTTACGTAAGGGACATATTTGTCTGCGTTACTCCGCAATCAACGGGTGACAATCTTTGTACTTTTCCTCCTGCTTTAATCTGCGCAGGAGAAAACGCTCGAGTAAAGTCACGATTTCGGAAGCTGTCGGTTGTAAATTCACTGAACTGTTCGTTGCATATGAATTCTGCTAAACCGGAATAAAGTGATCAAAACTACAGTGAGGCTACCTGGTTTTCGTGTTTCTCTCAGCCCACATTCAGCTAAGAATAGTACACTTGTCAACAGCATCACCACAGTTGTTTAGTGACTGGTCGCTTTGAATATCACTATAAAAAACGAAGAGGACGCAAAACCCCACGAACGCTGGTCTAAAATCAACGCAACAGGTAAAATTCAGCATAATTTCTTTAGATTTTACACAAGTGATCCTCTAAGGCTCTCCTTGAATCTGAGTGACTGTTTTTATTCATTTTATGTAACTATGTAACTACCAACTGGTGACATCATCCGTATGCACGTGGGTTTAGTCAAATATCTTTGTCGAATATCCTGTTCAGAATGTAGACTAAGAGAACCACACTGCCCTCCAGTAACTAAAAAGCAAAAATTGAGGTGTTGAGTTGTCACTCTTCCAACTTTCTTCAATATAAAATTAAGAATAGGTATAAAAATTCCCGTTGAATATGCTCAGTTACGTACGAGAGGTGACGATTCAAATCAACTAAACAACTTTCGAGAACTAAACTCATTTGCAAACCAATTTGGTTTTAACGGGAGACTCAATTGAATTTCTCGTCTATGGTGTCCTCCAGCTAAATGTGCTACACACAGGCCGCCTCATGATTCAGTTGGCACGATATTCGAGAAATCGCAGTATAGTTTCATAAGGGAAGCCACTCACAAGGTTGCCGAAAACTCATCGACAGCCCACGAAAACAGTCCAATTTGGGTTCAAGTAGATCATAAGGTTGACGGAAACTCGGGGACTGCGCCTACCTGATGAGCCCCGAGAAGGGCGAAACCGGTCGTGGGCTGTCGAAGAGTTTTCAGCAACCTTGTGAGTAGTTTCCTTTATGAAAAAAATTAAACGACTTGTTTTGAAATAAGTAAATGGTTTACTTTTCACGTCTTCACAGTAAGAAATCTGGTTACTTGCACGACCCATCTCCCCATTCACTAACATCTACTCTCACCATTTTGCAAAAAGCTATTTGCCGCTGACAGGACCGAGAACTCCAGGCTAATTAAACGCGTAGGACTTTGGACTTTGTGCCCGCATTTTCCTTCTTCGTGAGGTTTCCCGCACCAAATCACCACGATATGGGTGAATAGCACCCGAAAATATGCTCACGTTTGTCAGAGAGCGAGAAAGTACTGGGGATGTTGCCGATAATTATATGGAACAACATGCAATCATGGCTATCGCGCAAATCACGAACTGCTCATAGTCTCGCGCTAGAGGACGAGAAATATGGAAAGTTTTAGCGACTCCGGTAAAACCAAAGCGATTGCAAGAAAGATACAAGAAGAAACAAATGACTTTCGAAGTCTGAAAACATCCCCAAAGAGATCACGTGTCCGTACCGTGAAAAAAACTTGCTCTTAGCGAACCATCCCCTTTTGTAAACAAATTTGGCTTTGTGTGAGACTCACCTGGGACCTAGTTGATTCTCTTGTTTATGATGTTTCAAGCTTCAGACCGCCTCAAGTTTCAGTTTTTACGATATTCGAGATATCGCGATACATGTATAGTTTCTTAGCCATCTTATGAGAAGCTGAGTCCGAGACAGTCTTTTAAAAACACCAGAAAACCAATAAATCAGATCACTTGGGAAATGCTACCGAAGATCAGATGGCAGGCTGTTTCGTCTATGGAGTTCAATCTTGAGGAGCATTACTGCATTGGGAATTTCTTTGAAGAGGGTGCTGTCAAGCGAAGTTGGGCAACCGTCTTGCGGGAACTTAAGTACTCAAAAGCCGACAAGTTTGGACATTTATTTTGAAACAACCGAACATATCAGCTGGGAAATTCGGGCAGTAAGAATAATCGTTTTTAGGGATACTTGTTACAGAAGATTTAGACAAATGGCTTCTGGTGTAAAGAGAACGGTGTGATGAAAAAACGCTTTTAGTAAAATTATTGTCTCTTAAACTTTAATGAGAATAAAGCCACTGCGATTGTGAAACAACATTAAGTAATGGTTTGGAAATTATCAACCGCAGGATACATCTTCACAGATAATGTACGACGTAAGTCTCAGGTTAATTAGAGCGTACTCGCTGGATTTCAGTGCCTGACGATTTTTCAACAGGCTTTCTAAAAAATGAGTGCAATTACTTCATTGTCAAACTATTACAAAATATTTAGTAGACGGTTACCATAAGTCGTCAGCTTTCCTGTTATTCGACTCAGATCTAATCGCATTTGCCGAGCAATTTTTGGCCCATCTCTATTAGGGACGTTTTGCTGGTGACTAATGCTCATCCAAAAAGGCAGTAGGATAAAGGCAAACAAACCAAGGATCGCTGTTAAATCCGGC